ATATATATATATATATATATATATATATATATATTGTAAGTCTTTAACCTCTTGATGAAGTTGTTCAGAGCATTTACATACTTTAAACTGTGTAACAAGGCATTTTACAGCATAGCATCCGTATTCAGCAGCTTTGGTCAGTACAGCATTGGCAGAAAAATCATGACCGTTTCTAATGCTCATTGTCGTAGGCGTATAAGAGTTTAAATTTAACACGCACACATTGTCAACAAATCCAACATTTTCATTAAAAGAAAAATGTTTGAAAAAGGAAGTAATGTTGTCCACAGCAAAGCAATTAACATAATTTGAATGATCATTAAATTTTTCTTTTCTCCAATCGTACATCATAATTGAGGCCTAGAAAGCCATACTTATCTATGCCACACACACTAAATGGAGATATTTTTGCGTTTTGTTTCTCTTCAGGTATAGAATTTGAGCATATTCATGTTTGCTTTATTTACTTTTCATTTATTATTCAAGGGATCAATATTAATAATAAATTATAACAACTTCTTTGGGTCCTCACTTACTGAAGGAAAAAATCACTTGAATTTCATCCATTTGAAGTGAAAACAAAAAACCTCAAAATTATGCACATTTGCTTCTATGATAATGCATGTACACAGTACATAATTGTTTACGGAGACACAATATATATGTTTATTTGTATCTGTATATGTGTATTTCCAGAACTATTATAAAAACACTATTAAACTATAATATTGTAGTATTATAAAGTGTTATGCACCATTGGAAATCATATATATCATACATGTTCCACATAAAAGTAAATTAGAAGGCATTTTAAAAAATATATCAAGATGGAAAATTTAGTTTTGTATTTACAATCAATAACCTGGATCGTCCTGAACTTTATCATTATTTGAAATTTGCGGCTAAAGCTCACAGTACACAAATTGACGACATAAAATATGAAGGGCAGTGCCACTCAATAGATTTGCAACAGCAAACATCTTTCTAGCTGGTTTTAGTCTTTTCATAGTCTTTCTTCCAGGTTATAATTTTTGATAAAGAACAGTTCTGACTTGGACTGAAAAATGCAAATATTTGAACGTGTTATTGTGCCTATTCTAATACAGTGCATGCCAATTGAAATCTCATACTTGGGAAGTTCCTGCTTTCAACACAACTGATGTCATACGACGAGGCAATGTTTTCTATTGACGTGCTGCCTGCAGCCAGCAACTTTTTGATATCCTTTACGTACGTAAAGAACTACTGTATGGTATATACAATGTTATTGCGGTGCTTATAAAAATTAATTTTGGTTAAAATATTTAAGCTATAGGAGACTTTTATTACCAGAGCATTTTATTTGTTATTCTTGAGCAGTATGCACGCTACTCTTTGGAATCTATGCTTTTCTCCAGCAGTTTTTGCTGCTGCTGTCCACTAGAATGGTATGTTTTGTAAAATCAACTGTACTGTATCAAATGTGTCCAAACTGGTTCTACTTACTATGCCAAGACTATGATAAATATTCTAACACTGTGTTATTACATCCACCGTTATTAATGCCACGACTTTTCTCTCTTTTTTTTTTTTCTTTCTTTTTTTCCCCATAAAGGTACTAAGAGAAAATGTGGAGATATATTTTTTTATTATTCACAAGCAAATGCTGCCCAAATTTTGCTTATGCTCATGCCCATAAAATTCTTACACAAGTTTCATAGCATTGTTGAGAGTATTGTATGTGTGAAATTATGAAAGGTCACTTAGCAAAAAATCCCAAATATTACATTAAATGCATTGGCTGTATGGTTTTATTGTATTCATAATTATTGGAATGTTTTTCACTCTTTCTTTGCATTTCTTTTCACTTCTAACAATTTTTCATTTGGCTAAATTTGATATCAACCTTGCTAATGCACTGAACTCGTTGAAGTTATGAATGCAGTTGAAGAATCATTTTAAGACATTTTTAGAAAATTGTATTTTGTGGTAATTTGCTTCATGATCTTCTCATTAGAATACAGTTTCAGCACACTGTATTAATGCTCTTATCTGCATGCAAATTGAATTTTGACTGCATATCTACAAAACAATTCTAATATTTCTATTAGAAAAACTTTATGCTATTAGTGACTGCCAATTTAATAAACTTATTATCATGTTTTCATTTTAATTAATAACTGACAATCTGGCAGTAAAAGAAATTAATAAGTTGATTTTAATCACATATTGCAAAGTCAACATATCGAAGAAATTGCTCTTCATCAGACAATGGTACATTTTTTATAATTTATTTTGAAGTCATTTAATTTGATATTATTTTAGAATAAATGATAAAAAAGTTATTACCAGGTTGTCCTGGATTAAAAGGAAAATATTTTTAATAATGAGGCAAACTTGGCTATCATGTGAAAAAATAAGCCACAACATTCATGACATGACGTGTGTGTACCCTAAGCACATTTGCGAATTTCAGAATAGTTTTAAAATGAAAGAATGAGTGTTCCCATCACGTTAGACATGTTCTCATCAGTATAAACATTAGTGCCTAGCTGGTTGCTGCAATGACTCGGCCTGTAAAGTTTAAGGCAATAAACATTAATAACAAGATAGGAAAAGCCTGGGAAGTCCACAGCATTCACACACCAACGCGAAATAACGTAGAATTTTGGAGTAAATAGTAAAGGTTTGTTTTCATTTTGTTCCCAAAATGTCATTCAAATCAACCACACGCACACATTTAACCACCTCCAATTCATGAATCAATTCAGCTACTGACCTTATGTTCGTTTTCTAACTTCACTGAATGTATTCAATTTGCCATGGGCAACTATCTAGAAAGAAAAGCACAGAAAAAACTGTAAAAAAAAAAAAAATAAATATAAATCATGCAATTGCTGCATTCCATAAATTCTGTTGTCATGCATTAAAAATGTGAGGATCCAAAAAAATGCATAGAAAATTGACAGTAAAACACTTATTACTCTAAGAATATTCAACATATATCATGCCAAAGATATGTTCTATAATGTAATAAAATTTTCAAAGCTCAAACAGCAAAATCTTCAACTTAACAGCTCAAATTGAAAGAACTGAAATTAAAGAAGTTCAACTGAAGAAAATATTGATATTCCTAAACTTAGTTTTGCACACAATAAGAGGCTTCACTCACTACGTGAAAGAATACAAGTCTCTAAAGCAGGGATGGCCAACCTTTTTGGGGCAGAAGACTACTTCTGAATTAAGAAGATACTGGAGGTCGACCCAAACACTAACAAAGCATAAAAAATACATTTAGAAAGTGGTTATTACAAATTAAATAAAATAGAAAAATTGTATTTTTTACTAAACACATTACACAATCTATCATTTACTTTTCAAGAAGGGCAAGATGCTTAAAACAGAAATGAACAATACATGTTTCGAAGTGTTGGCTAACTCATACAAGGAAGTTTTATTGGCCAACATCCAGTGGCGAGGCGTGGCATTTTTACGAAGTCACACAAGAAGTGTTGTATATCCAGCCCTATCTTTATCTTTCTGAAGTGAGTGAGATGGGGGATTTGAAATATTATTTTATGTTCTGTCTGTTAATCACTCAGTCATTTTTCTGATATCGTTTCACCACATTCATTTCAATAAATCTTCTGAACTCCTTAATTCTATGTAGAAATTAAAATTGCTATAGAATTCGTAGGTTTATTGTTCCTGTGACCACGAATATCAGTTTAAGTTTGAGGTGGTAATACTAAAATTCATTGTATTGAGATCAATATGATCAGAAAAATTCTGATTTTTCGTGAGCTTTGACTGATTTTGTATAGGCACTTAAATAACAAAATCCAGCAGAAACCTAAACTATTTTACTGTCATCTTTTGTTTGGTCATATCTTTTATTTCCAAATGAGTTTTCACACTTGCTTCCACAGA